TGGTTGATTAGATTATTATTATTATAGAGGATTTATTTAGCGCCAACAGTTTGCGCAGCGCTTTACAAAATGAAGGTAGATATTACAGTTGCAATACAATTCAGTACAAGAGGAAACAGAGGGCCCTACTCATTAGAGCTTACTCTTTAATGGCTGCAGGTTCAGATAGGTGAATTCGGGGTTTAGAGATTTTTTTATGTCAACCCAGAAATCAGATAGAGGAAAGGCTGGGAGGGGATTACATTCATTCTGGAGTTGGGCTTTAAGCACTCTAAGCCCTGGTTCACATCGAATATGGCTTTGAAATTGCGCTACATTAAGCGTTTTCATAGCCAGTAATCAATACGACTTTATGCTTGTCTACATCTGTGCGACTTCATGCAAGTCGCACATGAAATCACAAAAAAGAGTGAAGGAAAATTTTCAAATTCTGTGCAAATCAGAGTTGCACCGATTTGAATGGTTCCAGAGCTGGCAATAGGGTGCGACTTGTCATGCGACTTTGCTCTGTCAAGTCGCTAAGGCTCACCATACATGTTATAATCTGACTGTACAATCTCTGTACTAATTCTACATACTTGTTAATAGCTCTGCAAAATCTCAGTTTGACAGGCTGCATGGAACTCCTAAAATTGATTTGATTCATAGGATGATGAAAATTATTGTTGTATGCTTTTCAGGGCCTATTAAAATCAAAACCTACATTTTAATTTGAAAATACTTTGTTTAGCTATATCACTATCTTCATTCTTGAGCCATATAAGCATTTAAGTAAATATTGGTTTAAAAAAAAAAAAAAACAGTAAAGGTATAAAAAATGCTGGGTATGGCAAACACATGATAAATCAGCATCTTTACATATTTTCATGACCGAAACACATGAAATATAAATAGTCATTAGCCGATGACTTCTTCTCCAGGCTAGGTGTGGTGTCCCGGTGACTTCATACTGTCATACTTGGAATGTCTGAGTGCATCAAATCAAAATGTAGTATTTCTTTTCCAAGCCCAAAGATTAATGTCTATCAATCTCCTTATATATCGAATACACAAACACAACATTTTTTTCAGTCTAGGTTTGAATTTCATTATTTTCAGTATTTTGAAAAAACAGACCTTCATCTCCTGCAACCAAAAGCAACCTCCTTGTAGGAAAGGGAGTACCTTGTTTTCACTTGCGTATGGAACTGTGCTAAATTGTTATTTTTGCTGGCAGAATTATATTTAGGCTCTACTGTACATCTTAATGCAAAATGTAGGTAAGTAAAATGGATTACCATGTAATGAACTCAAATATCATGTTTCTATGGAATAGTGGCAGACAAAGCGCACCTTTGTGGGGCTAAATTGGAATCCCCTGCATGAGGGTATGGTTACTCTTTGGAGAGCATTTGCCAGCTGGAAGAGTACTAATAAGATATGATGGGCTAGTGGTTCTGAAATGCGATATTTCCCCATTTAGACATCAATCAGAGATAGACCCGCAGTCAGTGACATCTGTTGGGCAAAATATAGCTACCTGCTCTCCGTTCAGACCTGTGATCACAGCTTTCGGCAGAAGGACGTTTTCCAGCACCATCTTCTCTTGCAGCCAGAGCCGAGACAAGGGATGAGCAGGAAGGGCAGCTGCCCCGGGTGCGGTGAGGATTATGGTGTTGTGCTAGGAGGGGTGATGTGGAGGGGGAGTTTTGTACTAGAAAATGCATTTCTGTTAGGAAGGGGAATTGGGGGGGGGGGGGTTGCTAGTAGGGATACTAGAGGGGATTTATTCTAGGAGGAAAAATTTGGGGGGGGGGGGGGGTTTGGTGCAAAGAAAGGGTATTGGGGGGGGGGGGGTTATTTGAGCTGGGAGAGGGGGATTTGGAGGGGGAGGTTATGCCCAGAAGGGAAATTTGAGAGGTAGAGGATTTGTGCCAGGAGGAGGAATTTTGGGGAGGGAGAGGATTTGAGCTGGGAGGGGGATTTGTTCTGGAAGAGGGGGAATTTTTGTTTGGGGAGAATCTCGCTTTATGCTTATGGTGTACGTGTGAAGAATAATGCTCTATTTTTTGGGGAGAGGGGGATTTTTGCTGATACATAATGTTCATGCATTGGTGGGAAGGGCACCGTTTGGCATTTTTGCCCTGGACACTAGAAGATGATCTTATCCCGGCACTGCTTGTAGCTCTGTGATGTCACATTATAGAATGGTGAAAGCTGCAAAGGAAGCTGATTCTGGAAGTAAAAAACTGTCTCATAATAAACATTTTCTTTTAGGAACACCCACCTTTCACCATGTCCACCATTTACTGTAGGCCAGGTGGATGGATAGATAGATAGATAGATAGATAGATAGATAGATAGATAGATCTGTAGCCAACCTGCTTTAAGCAGACGTGTCTATTCACATTTTCAGTTACAACAGGGGACTCGGACTGCAACAATAACCCTTCCACAATCTACCCAGAACTAGCACTTTAATGATGTACTGGCTATACAATGTTAGTGGTAGTAGCAATAGTAAGACTAGGGGTAGTTGTTACTTTCCAGGTTCTATAAATATTAATGAAAACTGTATCTCTCCTATAGCAGGGAAGGTGCTCATTACACTACACTCATTCACGTGTCATATTTAAATAATCCAATAAAATCAGATACACACATACTTCTCCTTTGAAGCGTTCACCAACAAATTATACAGTTCACCATCACAGCCACATTAATGCTCATTAGCAAAATTATTCCTCTGCACTTTGTTGATGCATTAAAATATACAGAATCCTATTACATACTTTATGGGTGACTTTTCCAGGTTAAGAAAGAAAAGTAGTAAACAGTTCTGCTCTGGCCTAAGTAGCATAGCACTACATGGATTTAAAGCTTGGAATTATTCTGGAATTGGTAGCATGGCTCCATTCTTTTTCTCATATAAGGGTGCAAATTCTTGTTCTGGGGACCTCCCTCATAAAAACGATGCAAGCTGGCTACAGATTCAGTAAATTGGGTATAAATAACCAATCAGATATTCTGCCATCAAGTTATACTTTGGCCATTTGCATAACGTGTGCTGTGTGCAGGCAGTGGCTGAATGGTTTATACTAATCAACTAGACCAGAAAACAATTTTCCTGCAAACTTTTTTTCAACTTTCCCCCATTTTTAAGTGAAAGGCCAAATCCAGCTCTGACACAACACAAATTCTTCTAGCAACATGGTTCAGACCTAAGCTACTTTTTCCACTTAGGAAAATACTGCAATGACTATGGCTCTAATTTTGACCCTGGTACTATGGCTCTGATTCTGGATCTGGTAATATTTCTGAATTTTGGCTCTTGTAATACAGTTAGGGTTGCCACCTGTCTGGGATCACCTGAACAGTCCTAGTTTTGGATTATGTGTCTGGATTTCTGTCCACCTGAAACCCGGACACATACTGTGCCGCTGTGCAGTGGGAGGAAAATATGCAGAGCTGCTCTACCTTCCAGCTCCACCACCTCACTCTGGCTCCCGCCAAGTAAGGCAATCTGATAGGGGTTCATTAAGGGGCAGGAGGGCACTGATACAAGGGGGGGAGCCTCGAAGGGAGGGGGTGCGCTGATATAAGAGAACTCTAATGGAGCTGTTGATATAAGGGGACTCTAAATGCACTCAACACAACCACATACAACATAAAACTTTCCTATCTGTCCTATCCTTTAATGTAACCCTAAAAATTTTAAATTGGTTATAAAATTGCCCATGCAATAAAAAGATCTGTTTAACATGTGTTGCTACTTTTGGTTGATATGTGTTGCTTACATGGGCTTACAAGAAGTAGACATGGAGCTACCAAAGTAAAAATGTTTATTAGCAGTCAGATGGCCAGCCAAGGGCGCAATGCATGCAGAGACACAGAGTCTAAGAACTCTTGTTTCTCTCCCTACACTATGTTATAATGTATTTATGTTACTGCACACATTTTGTGCTGTGTATTTGGTTATTTAGCCAGAGCCACCTTTGGTTTCTAGTTTACAATGCAAAAAGACTGGCTGCTTACAGCTTCATCATACTACTATATATGATCATGTATATTTAACTTTGAAACATTCCAATAAAATTGAATATACACCCTTCTCTTTTGAAGAGTCATTCTGGGAATCATAAGGTATCACATTTATACAACTGATTAAAAAAATCCTATCTTGCAGCTTGTTCATACTCCAAAGTATATAGAGTACCGTTAAATACTTTACAAGCAGCTGTGTCATCCAACAAACAAAACTTACAGAAATGTTATTCATTTTTGTCTGCAGGAAAATCACCAAGCCAACTTTTACACCTACCCTTTTTTTAAGGATTAGTCTCACAAAACATACAAGGCATGTAATTGTTGTGGTACACTGCAGTGGAATAAATGGTGCATGTCGACCATACTTTTTTTTCTCCACCAATGGGACCTCTGAATCACAATTGTAAAGAGCAGACTGAAGAGAAGCAATATATCCTTGACTTGAATGTTGGCTTTGTATCAAGAACATAAGCTATATGAATGGAATTTGGGAATGATTAGGTCAAACTGCTTTTGTTCAGGTTCTGTGTGTTACTATGCTCGAAGGCTAGAAGATACGTAGCAATAGTGCTATGAGCAGTCATTAAGTGGTGTAGCGCTATCCCCAAAGGAGCCGCTGGTTATATTGGGACCTCTATTTTTATTGTGACTCCGATAAATGCCTCAGCACCACTTGTACCTCAGGTTACCCACTTTAACAGAGGCAGGCTAGTGATTTTTCAATACCTTAGAGTCACCTAGAAAATAGACTTGAGACTTGTGATATTTAAGGTACTACCATAAACTCAAACCAGACCAATGTAAACTGTAGCTCTCTTAACTAAATGAGCAGTAAAAAATGCAACCAAGACAGATACCAGCACAGCTAAAAGGCTAAGTTGCCAAATGCTCGTGTGATGAGGGAGCTACGCCTAGGCCTTTTGTAAAAATTATTGGCAATATCCCAGAAACTGTCCGCAACAGAAAGTGAACTATACTATATTGCCAAAAGTATTTGGGACACCCTTCCAAATCATTGGATTCAGGTGTTCCAATCACCTCCATGGCCACAGGTGTATAAAAATCCAGCACCTAGGCATGCAGACTACTTATACAAACATTTGTGAAAGAATGGGTTGCTCTCCAGAGCTCAGTGAATTCAAGCGTGGTACCGTGATAGGTTACCACCTGTGAAATAAGTTCATACGTGGAATTTCCTGGCTATTAAATATTTCACGGTCAACTGTTAGTGGTATTATGACAAAGTGGAAGCAACTGTGAGCAACAGCAACTCAGCCATGAAGTGGTAGGCCACGTAAAATGGCAGGGAAAGGTCAGAGAATGCTGAAGCGCACAGTGCACAGAAGTCGCCAACTGTCTGCAGAGTCAATAGCTAAAGACCTTCAGACTTTGTGTGGCCTTCAGATTAGCACAACAACAGTGCATAGAGAGCTTCATGGAATGGGTTTCCATGGGCGAGCTGCTGCATCCAAGCCTTACATCATCAAGTACAATGCAGATCGTTGGATGCAGTGGTGTAAAGTACGCCGCCATTGGACTCTAGAGCAGTGAAGACAAGTTTTCTGTTGTGACAAATCACGCTTCTCTGGCAATCCAATGGACATGTCTGGGTTTGGCAGTTGCCAGGAGAACTGTACTTGCCTGACTGCATTGTGCCAAGTGTAAAGTTTGGTGGAGGGGGGATTATAGTGTGTGGTTGTGTTTCAGGGTTTGGGCTTGGCCCCTTAGTTCCAGTGAAGGGAACTCTTAAGGTGTCTACATACCAAGACATTTTGTACAATTTCATGTTCTCAACTTTGAGGGAACAGTTTGGCCCAAAATCCCCAACATGACTGCGCACTAGTGCACAAAGCAAGGTCCATATTGACATGGATGAGTGAGTTTTGGGGTGGAGGAATTGACGGGCCTGCACAGAGTCCTGACCTTAACCCAATAGAACACATATGGGATGAATTAGAGCAGAGACTGCAAGCCAGGCCTTCTAGTCCGACATCAGTGCCTGACCTCACAAATGCACTTCTGGAAGAATGGTCAAACATTCCCATAGACACACTCCTAAACCTTGTGGACAGCTTCCCAGAAGAGTTGAAGCTATTATAGCTGCAAATGGTGGCCCAACTCAATATTGAACCCTATGGACTAAGACTGGGATGCCATTAAAGTTCATCTGCATGTAAAGGCAGTTTTCTCAATACTTCTGGCAATATAATGTATGTGAGTCCTTAAATTCAGTCTTCTGATGTCTACGTTGGGGCCCTTGAAAACATTCCCTTTTTTTCATCACAAATGAAAGCAATTTTGCAGTAATACTTTTCAAGCTCTGGATAATTCAGTAACAGCAATTCTAGTTTCAGTGGTGCCACTCACAGCCCTACAGTGACATAGTGTAATGGCAATTTAAGTGCTATACCACCAGTGAAGGTAATTCAGTCACAGGCTGGTGATATATACAGGTAGACTCACAACATATGTCCCAGGGTCCTAGGCCTAGAAATGCCATTGATTTGTTTCTGGCTGTTAAGTCCTTGTGCTGCTACAGCCAATGTTAATTGAATATGGCCATGTGGCTGCTTGTATATTTCAGAAGGAATAAAACTTGCTTTCCCATATGGAAATCAAACTCCAACCTGAACGGTAGAAGCTGTCTGCAGCATTCCAGGCAATTCATGAACATTCAGAAATGTCCATAGATTTAAGCAAAGAACATACGTATAGGCGCTCAAAAATGTTATCCTGAGCAGTAGATTATGCAAATCTTTGCTGGCCACAAACTCTGATAGACAATATGTAACTTTTTAGGGATTTTGTTGTAGGCTATGATGCGTTTTTATAACCTATATACTATTTGCTGGTACTGAAAAAATGCAGTGCTGCACATGACAAATGTAATGTTGTTTGTTATAGTAAATATAAAACTCTACCTGACATCTTTTCAAGCTGTATGACTCACAGCGCACGTGGCATGTGAAACCATGCAGGGAAAATTGGAAGTTTGTGTATGAGGCGGCACAGCTCCAAATCTGTCGTTAGCAGCCAATAGCTGTATAATAAAGAAAGTGATGTCATGTCAAAGTCATCTCAACAGGGCATTCAGCAAACAGTGTCATTTACAAGCCAGCCTCGTGCTGAAAGCTGCTCTTACCTGCAGGACTGCATGTTCCACATCAGAGGGTGGTTCCATTACGTGATATGACCTGCTATTATTGCCTCCTTGGCAAACGTTCCCATTGGTATGTTTCAGAATCAGATTTATGTTTTCCAAGATCTGTCAATAAGCCTGAAGAACAAGCCCAGTGTTTCAAAGGCTTTTTTTTTTTTTAAATATGTTTTAGCTATCCACTAAAAGCAGTCAATTTGACAAAACACCTACCTGTGTATGGAAATAAAATCAGTAATTCAACACATTGAGCTTTTGTATAAAAAAAACATAACACAGGACTGAAGACAAAAATATTGCATTTCACAAAGAGTTCTCATTTTAAAGCATTATTGATGTACATTTAGTTTGCTAGAGTTTTTGTTATAAGCAATAACCATTTTTTTCAAATAAAATATTTGCAGTTGCGTACAAACAGTGGAACATGTGCGATGTGCATTGGCATAGCCTCTTCTAGTCTCCATTAAAGAGAACATTTGACAGGAGGACAACACAGCAGAACAATTGGGAGACAGGGACAGAACATTGTCACCCTATAACAGGAATTTGTATTATTTGTAGTAAAATCAACAAGTAATATTTTAAAGTTATATTAAACCTTTTTTTTCTTAATACCAAACATGTTATACTTATCTGCTCTGTGCAGTGGTTCTGCACAGACCAGACCTGATCCTCCTCTTCTCAGGTGCCCCACTAGTGCTCCTGGCTCCTCCCTTTTGACCAGTGCCCCCAATAGCAACCCATTTGCTATGGAGACACTGGTGCGTGCTTGCTCCCGAGCCCTGCTCTATGCATCAATAAGACACATAGAGAAACAGCTCACCCCCCTCTTTCCTCATTGGCTCACTGGCTGTGATTGACAGCAGTGGGAACCAATGGCTCCTGCTGCTGTGTCTCAGCTAATAAGGAGAGAGAGTCCCATGACAGCCGAGGCTTTGGTGCACATTGCTGGATTGAGAGGGGACTCAGGCGAGGAGGGACTGCGTAGGGAGCAGTACACAGAAAGTTTTTTATCTTTATAGAATGAATGAAGGTAAAACACTTTCAGCCTTTACATCCACTTTAATGAAAACTGCATGCAAAGAGGAGTTGGGGGTTTGCAAACCTTTTGTTTGTTGTGTCCCTTGGCATGCTCCCTATCATGTTACACATGCATTGTTTCTTGCTTTAAATAATTTTGCCCCTACCTCACTCCATAGGACTTGCTCTGTATAGTTAGTTACACCCTCTTTCAATGTTATTTAGTGATCATATGTGTACTGCTGGACCTGGTCATATTATGATCGTTTGAACTATATAAATGGTAATTTCTTTGAAGATCTGCACACGTTTTGGATTAAAGTTCTTCTAAGATTTGCAAGGTGTATTTGGATTGAGTCAATGTCTACAATCTCTGCTGATATTGTGAGTTATTGCTGTCTCACCACCACTTGATAAGCTATAGAGATCAAACTTTTTAATTCTTAGACTGGGGAGGCAGAACCATCTCAATGAGTTGGGTTTTTCGGTCTATATTGGGAGGGTGGAGCTGGTAGAGAGTATCAAGTGGTGTGATTGAGATAGAAGACATCACGTAGTGCCTGGTGCCCATGTCTCTTTCTTTTCCCTTTGATGGACATCCAAACAAGTAACATGTAGATCAGATACTACAGCTGATAAGCGGTGAACTTTGAGCATTTGGGAACAGCTCGCAGCATGTTTCAAAGCAGCAACTCCCTTCTGCAAAGCTCAGGTAGCACAGGGACTGTAGCAGTTATACTGATAGTTGAAAATTGTTCTAGTTGGGGCCTGAACCATTAAGGGATTAAACCATGATGAGGCTTCCAATGATATAGACTTCTATGTTACAAATTATGTGGATTGTTTTTATTAAAGAATTTAAGAAATGACATAAAATACTTCCTTACTGTGTTACACAAGAAGGGCCAAAGGCACTGCTAAGGTCAGGAGTGGGTGGTAATCTGAGTACAATGGACCTCTCAACGCAGTGGTTGGGAAGGTTCCATGGGAAAGATATCTGGGCAACTGTTATATGAATTAGATCTTGAACTAACAAGAAAGCGAGACCTCACAAAAGTCTAAAGTGAAGTGAACGCTCGATCAGACCTATTTGCTGACTAGACTAAGTGACTAGACTCTGTATGTGAGTTAGAGCCAGTTGTGTAGAGCCAAACCATGCTGCTCCATCCCTGCAAAGCTGTAGTTTTAGAGACCTGGGCTGGTAACTGTCTAAAAAGCCTGTCCTTCATGTGAATTTAAAAAAGACTGAAAATAACTTTTAAAATTACTTTTACATGTTAAAGGACAAGTTTACCTTTCATGACATGTTAGACCCATATTCAGGATGTAATATGTAACATGTTACTAAATAAGCAACCCTCCGCACCCAACTCCCTCAAGCCTCCGAGACAGCAAGCCGGGGATATCTGCTCTGCGCACAAAGAAACAAGCAGAGGGTGTACAGGCCTAGTGCATTACCTTTTAAAATTAATTTATTATGTAAAAGAAGTGGTAATATACTCACAAAAGATAAAAAGTCAAGGGCACATCATATAAAGTACAGAAACTTCCAATCTCACTGGAAAGTAACCGCAATGGGACTCTTGGACCTCCAACTGGCTGATGCGTCTCACCTCTTCCTCAGAGCCAATCTCTGCTCCGCCCACCTGTCCGCATCATTCATTCACAGAGTTCCATGAATGAGAGAACTACAACTACCACCAGTCATTGCTGCTGATGGCTTGTAGTTCTCAATGAATTACCAGGGTGCTGGTGAGCACTCTAGTAGTTAATTGATTCTTCCTGTCATTGTGTAACTGCCTGCCCATATGAAGTACAGGGAGACAGGTACACAGACATTCTGCAGGATCCTTACATTGCACCCACAATCTGATG